GGAATCAACTGCCCTTGTGTTGTACATCAAGGGTTTATTTTTTTTATAAGGGGTGGATTCTCAGTATTGCATTCAACAGAGGATTTGTACAACTGGGGAGGGTGATTTCCTCTTCCCCAGCTGTACAAATCTTCTCTTGAACCTTCATTCTCAATGGGGGGGGGAATCAATAAATTATAGAAGGGTCTAAAAAATAAGTTATAAATGTATTTATACTTATACATCCTTAGAAATTCTAAATCCTTCAGCAGCATTATCAATGAATCAGGGGAAGGAGCTAGGACAGTAAAATACTAGGGATCCAGAAGAATGATATGCACCTGATGGGGCAGGCCAGCCTTGGTTATGAGCTCTATCCTAAACCTATTCCATTTCCCTGAATATGCCTGGCCAAGTTCTTTTTTGTGCACTGGGAATTATTCCCACGGAAATGTATTTAAGAATACATTCATCTTTTCAGATTGCCATCCTGAGCTTTGACTGAAAAAGAAGCCTGGCTGAATTCCATGGGGCTGGTTTTATTTGGAGTAAAAGAGGAATAGGCTGGGCTCTGGGATAACCTCATCAACACTAAAACCCTCAAACCATAAATGTCACCAAGTTGCTTCTGCCACTCCACTCCACTGCACCTTGGACCTGAAATGGAATAATGTTTCTTCTGTGCCTCTTCCCCTCCCAGATTGTCCAAATTGTCCTGCAGCAGTGATTCCCCTCACCACCAGCGGTTCTCAACCTGTGGGTCGCAACCCCATTTGGGGTCGAACGACCATTTCACAGGGGTCGCCAAACAATGCAGTCCACCATTTTTTCCCCCTTTTCCTTAGTTGTGCTACTCCCTCTTATTCTATTGGCTTTTGAAAGTCAATAGAATAGACTCTCTTGAATAGAGTCTAATTCTATTGGCTTTCAAAAGCCAATAGGAATTGTCCAGGCTGTCTCTGCCCTGCTGAGCCCACCAAAAGTTCCAGTCTGCAAACGGTGCTGCAAGTTGTCTGCAGCAAAGGCAAGCTGTCTGGAAGTTTCCACCCCTCCCTGCTGAGCAACTACTAAAAATGTAAGTAAAAGAGGGCCAGGGGTGGGAGGTGGGAGGCCGGCGGGCGCAGGGAAGGTTGCTGGCGCACGTGGGGCCCGGCGGGTGCCTTACCTCCCTTGGGCTGGGCCAACTGGTGGCCCAGCCAGTGGTCGCCATGCGCCGTCGCTGCCCCGTGCCAGCTACGCCTTGGCTGGCGCAGGGGGCGGCACCACGCATGCGCAGCGCTCCTGGGCAGGGAAAGTCCTCGACTTATGACCGGTTGGGTAGTCCTCGACTTACGACCGGTTGGGTAGTCCTCGACTTACAACCGGTTGAGTAGTCCTTGACTTACGACCGGTTGGGGGTTGCGGCATTAAAAAGGTTGAGAACCACTGAGTTAGGGGCTGATGTTTTTTCAGATGGGGCGCCAAGTTATCCCCACATCCAATTGGCTGGGGCAACTTGTTCTGTGCCAATTTGACCATGCTCACCTAGGTGTACTGACCCAGCCATACCCACTTATCCATCCTGACCTGGCTACTGTGAGTCATCCCATTCCACCCCTCTACCTATCATTGTATTCCACCTTTGCTTTTATCACATTCATGTACAGTTTCAGCTCCATGCAGCCAGTCTTCTTTCTTCTGACCACACATATGATGTGTGCATATTATTTATTCATTCTTTCAAACCACCAGTGCAGTTAGCTCATGTTGTTCACTTTTTTGTTCAAATTTTGTTCAAATTTAGTTATAACCCATTCATTCTATACCTCATCTCTTACATACTTATGTTCCCTGTTACACTACTTTCAACTTATTTTTTTTTCACTTCCAAACAGCCATTTCGGCTTCTTTTACCAAGTATTAATTGCTCACAACAGGCCACAAAATACCCACTATATCTCTGCTATCAAGTGAACATCTTAAAATTTTCCTATTCATTTTTTAATCTTTACCATTCTACTAAGATATACCAATCCATCTATTTGTTCTAATTTTCAATACTTTTAATAGAATTTGCAATCATTCGCTCCTTTTCTCTGTCAAACAAAACTACTTTGAATTCTGATACATTGATCCTCACATCTATACTTCCTGAGTATCAATCTAATGTTGTTGTTAATTGCGAAGTCATGTCCGACCCATCAATCTAATATTCACTGCCAAATACAGTACTCAAATTTTCATCCAAAAAAATATAACATTATCCATATGCAAAAAGATATATATCAATTCACATCCACAATCAGCATACCTCTGATATTACCAACAAGCACTTCATATTAATATACTCATAAATACATTAAAATCAAGAAGACATTGCACATCTTTGTCCTATTCCCTGCTCAGTATGCATTCCATTTATTAATCTACATCTGCACCGTTACCATTTTCCCACATCCTTTCAATATTTATGATCACTTTTTCATCATTTCTTGATCAGCAACATTTGCAGCAATTGTTTCAATTTAACATACAGTTTAACATATATATTACTATCATTCTGATACAAATCTTTAAAATAATTCTTCCAGTATCCCAGTTTTATCCAAAATCATTTTACTTTTATTCTTATTCACTCTAGTGGACGTGCCTTGTTCATCTACTTCCCTTTTTAAAAAATGCTAGAGAAAAAGGAAAATAAAGGGATGGAGTCACTATGTATGTGTTGACTGGCCATATAATGAATGTATATAGAATATGTACAGTATATGACATTTTACAAATTTTCAAAAAAGATGACATTTTTGTAACTATCCATACAATTTTTATTTCCATCAAAGTCACTCTGCATTTTCTCTGTCTAATTTAACTGTAATCATTCCTCGCTTTATTTGACTACATTTGTTGCAATCATTTTTTTCTGTTATACTGATTTTACAGTGTCTTTTACTTAGCTTTTTGTACCTGACACTACTAAATACATAATGTGTGACACTACATAATAGATGAATAAATAAATAAGCTAGAGAAACATGTAACTGAAAAAGTAGTAAAATAACGGAGAACATCATACACTCTGTGAAGCACAAGCATTTACTCAGTTGTTACTTCATTAAAACCTCCTGTAACTTGTAAGCAAAATTTAAAGAGATAGATGAAGTTTTATCCAGTTGTTTGCTTGTTTGTTTGTTTGTTTAGTAAATTGACATGCCACCTATTTTTCAGAGACAACTTTGGGCAGCTTACAAACATTAAAACTATTAGACATAAAATAATAAAACAATAAATAAAAACAATAATAAAGACATGTTCTTTTTTTTATTCTATGCATAATCTGGACTCACAACTCCTACTCGAGGAGCAGATGGCAGTCATGGCGAGGAGGGTCTTTGTGCAACTGCAGGTTTTGCACCAGTAACATCCTTTCCTGAACCAACAGTCCCTACTCATGCCTGTTGCAAGGTGCTCTAAAAGGGGCTACCCTTGAAAAGCATCCAGAAGCTCCAGTTGGTTCAAAATGCAGTGCCCCACATGGTTTTGTGCAGATCTCAGAGTGCACATTATGCCACCTCTCCTGCAGGAGCTGCATTGGTTGCAGATTTGCTTCTGGGTACAATTCAATTGTCACCTTTAAAGCCCTTCGTGGCTTGGGACCAGGTTGTCTGAGGAACCATCTCTTGCCGGTCACATCCACCAGTAAGAGCGGAGAGGTTGCAGGTCTGTCACCTAAAGAGATACATCTGGTGGGCCCCACCATGGGTCTTTTCATGTAAGCAATCACCTATACCTAAAGCATGAAACATTTGCTTCTATATAACTTATTTCCCAGTCTAAAGCATTTACAAAGCTGCTTGCACATAAACAAAGATAATGATTACAAAATATCACTACTAATATCAATATTACTAATATCAACCTTAAGCATAATAAAATCCCTTCATATATGATCTATTTCAAACTTATCCAATAATTTTCCTATAGAAGTTTGGTGTATACAGATAGTCCTCACTTACTGATAGTAATTGGGATCAGAAAGCTTGTTGCTAAATGACACAGTCATAAGATGTGCCCATCCCATGCACCAACTTACAACAGCAATTCTGAAAGTCCCAGTTGCTGTCATTAGGAAAATCCCTCATTATTGCAGGGTCCCAATAATGTATTGGGTTTTTGGAAAGTTCTTTTTTGCTAGTAGTTTTGCTAGTACAGAATTTTGAAAGCCTATCATTCTCCTTCTTCACAGCACAATACAGGTGAAGTTGCTCTTTCTCATTTTCTTCTCTCCCCTCAGAGAGGAAAACAAGCTGAGATGCCTGTTTGCAAAAAAATTATTTCCTTCTTCACTTTCCCAAAGTCTGTTAGACCTTCCACAGATATTTCTCTAAGTGGATATTTTTCCATTATTATGCTCATTTATTCTTGGAGTTCCAATTGCCCCAATCACTGTTTTGATACTCTATTGACTAACTTCTGGCATCTAGTAGAATAGCATTTTTCTCCACAATCACATTCACTCAGAAAGTTACCTATTTTTTCCATAACCCATCTCTGGTTCTTTCATTCTGGCCATTCAGTTAAGAATAATATGCAAATATCACTCCTAACATAGTTATCTATATTAAATAGAAAAAATCACAAAAACTGCATTGTGAAAATACATTTTAGTTATGGTTTAGCTAAATATTTTCTTTGCTTATTAGTATCATGGTTGGTTGCACAATTAACCAGATATTTAGACTGGATTTTGTATGTTTATCCATCTGTTGAGTCATTAATATTATTTTATTTTAAAATATAGAAAGTTGCATATAAGAAAAGGTGATGGGCACTATAAAAATCAGTCAAGATGAATGTTAATTTAATAAACTAAGACACCAGAAGTATTAAAATTCAAAGGGAGAACACAAATTGGATTTCAACTCTTCTAGTATGTTTTTTTAAATTTCTGATAGTGTTATCTTTCTGAAAACCTACAACAATAATAATTCAATAAACCTATCCAGTATGAGATAAAAATGTATTTTCATGTTTTATATATTCAGGATCATGCAGATATTGAATGGAAATTTGCTCGTACAAAGTTATGGATGAGTTACTTTGAAGAAGGAGGGACTTTGCCCACACCTTTCAATGTCATACCAAGTCCAAAATCTCTATGGTATCTAATAAGATGGCTGCGGAGACGACTATGCAGGCAAAACATTAAAAAAAAAACAGAAAGTTTTGGAACCATTGGGGTAAGCAAAATTAGCCATTTCCTTCCTCATCCTTGTAAGACTGGGTAGTGGTGACATCTTACCTACAGAGGCTAGAAGGATGTATATTTCTGCTTTTTGACAATGCCAAAAAGTCTCTTGAATCAACTGTAGTTTCCCTTCTTTCTCTTCCTGATTTTTTAAAATAATCACCGTTCCCCATTTCGTGAAGTAATATATTAGGAGTGTCTAAAAATGTAAACAAAATGGAAAAAGTGTTTATTTTGAGCTCAAAACTAAACTTCATTCAAAGCATTCCTTTAGCCGTGTTATAGTGAAACAAAACTCAAAATAATCAATGTGTTCTATCTGAACATAATTCCAAATATGTAAAAGGTTCCTTAGAAAATAACAGGAATTTAAAATAACAGTTTTGTGAGGGCAACTGCCCTGGGTCCGCATATAGAGGAAGCCCTATCCAAAATATAATTTAGAATTTGAGAAGTACAGAGTGTGCCTTTTTTTATTCAAGATAGTGAAAATAATTAAAATATAACTCAAGAATCAAGAATTATTCCAAATTGTTTTATGATAGTTGGATCATTTAATCCAATTGTTTGACTTGTACATTTAATCAGGATATGGCACACCATCATTGCCTTTACCTAGCTTGGCCCAATTGGACAATGTGGCAGTTGAAACATAGGTGTTGTTTCAACTGCAATACTGAGAAATTCTTAATCAACTAAAGTTCTTAATAAGTAAGAGTGTCTTTCTCCCTTTTTAAATCTTGTGACCTTGAAGCTCAAAAAATATTAAATAAAGAGAAAACACACTAAACTCGTCACCCTCATATTATGGCATAGTTGTGCAAATTCAGTATATCTTAGAAATAAAAACTGTGGCTCTTTGTAGGTGCATCATTAAATCTTCAATTAGAATAGAACTGGAAGTGATCTGGGAGTTCTAGTCCATCCCCCTGCTCAAGCAGGAGACCCTATACCAGGGGTAGGCAACCCAAAACACTCAAAGAGCCACTTGGACCCGTTTCCCACCAAAAACAAAACACCGGGAGCCGCAAAACCCTTTTGATATCTAAAATGAAGATAACACTGCATATATCCTTTTTTACCTTTATTATAGCTGTGTGTGCGTTTGTGTGTGTGTGTGTGTATGTATGTATGTGTATGTATACACACACACACACACATTAAAAATAAAAGTAAAAATATGACTCTTGGGAATATCCATACTATTAAAACAATGATCACCAGGAGAATGCTTTAAGAGAATAAAATTACATACACACAAAAGTAAAAAAAGGATATATGCAGTGTTATCTTCATTTTAGATGTCAAAAGGGTCTCTCTCTCTCTGTGTGTGTGTCTCTCTCTCCCTCCCTGTCTATCTGCCCTTGGTCTGCCACTCCTCTTTCCCCCCCCTCTCTCTCTCCCTCCCTCCCTCTCTTTCTTTCTCTCCCTCTCTTTCTCCCCCCCTCCTATCTGCTGCTCACCTGGCAAGCTTCAAGCTGTTGTCCAACAAGCTCAGGGGTAAGCAACCTCGTCTCTTTTATGACTCATGGACTTCAACTTCCAGAATTCCTGAGTCAGCCTAGCTGGGCTAGCTAGCTCTCTCCTGCCCTTCCTGCTTCCTGCAGAGACGCAGCAAAGGGAGGAGCTCCGCCCAGTAAGCTTTTCAGCTCCTCGGAGAACACTGTGAGTGCACTCTCTTTTACACATACACACACACACACATACACACACAAACACACACATATACACACACACAGAGAGAGAGAGAGAGAGAGAGAGAGAGAGAGAGAGAGAGAGAAGCAGGGGAGCGCAATTGCCTCTCTCTGTCTCTGTCTCTCTCTGCAAAGGCAGAGGAGGCTGGGAGCCACAGGGGAAGGCTCAAAGAGCCGCATGCGGCTCCGGAGCCGCAGGTTGCCGACCTGTGCCCTATACCATTTCAAATAGTTGGCTGTCCAGTCTTTTCTTAAAAACCTCCAGTGATGAAGCCCCTACAACCTCTGAAGGCAAGCTGTTCTACTGGTTAATTGCCCTCACTGTTAGGAAGTTTCTCCTTAATTCCAGGTTGCTTCTCTCCTTGATTAGTTTCCATTCATTGTTTCTTGTCTTGCCTTCTGGTGCTTTGGAAAATGAACAGAACAGAAAGAACAGAACAGAACAGAACAATAGCAGAGTCGGAAGGGACCTTTTAGGTCATCTAGTCATCACCCCCTGCCCAAGTAGGAGTCCCTACACCATTTGTGACAGATGGCAGTCCAGTCTCTCTCTTTTTTTTAATTTTTACAAAATTTTATTTATAATACAATTAAAAAAAACATTGGATATAACGTGACATTCCAGTATATACATTCTTATCAAATTATTCCACATTTTACAATCAATTCGTCATCTCTGAATATACATCTAAATTTTATATACAATACTTATTCTAAAATTACATATATTTCTATCTTAATGTTAGCCTATAATCCCAGCCGAGGTGGCGCAGCAGTTAGAGTGCAGTACTGCAGGCCACTTTAGCTGACTGTGTTCAGCAGGTCAGCGGTTCAAATCTCACCGGCTCAAGGTTGACTCAGCCTCCCTTCCTTCCGGGGTAGGTAAAATGAGGACCCAGATTGTTGGGGGCAATGTAAATATATATATATACATTGCTTACTGGTGTACACCGCTTAGAGAGTGCTTGCACTTAAAGCGGTATATAAGTCTCATAAATAAATAAATAATAAACTGTCCTCCTCGAATCCCTCCAGCAGTAAAATTTATCCCAGGTTTCGAAATAAACTGATCTACATTTGTCTTTCAATACCATTGTGAGCCTGTCCATTTCCACACGATAATATTTTATATAGTGTCTCTTCCTCTGTGGGAATTTCTTTGCTCTTCCATTTTTGCACAAACGCTAGCCTAGCTGCAGTCAAGATATGTAACAGCAAATAGATTGTTCCCTTATTGTATTTCTCCATGGTCATTCCCAACAGGAAAAGTTTAGGTTTTAACTCTTAAGTCCAACATTAATATATCTTTCAGCCATCTTCATATCTTATTCCAATACTCACAAGCCTTTGGGCATTCCCACCACATATGATAATATGATCCTATTGCTGTTTTACATTTCCAGCATAAAGGTGAGATATTTGGACCCATTTTGGCTAACCTTACGGGTGGGAAGAGCCATCTATAAAACATCTTCCAGAGGTTTTCCTTGTACGAGGTAGCTAGAGTGAGTTTCCTATTTCTTTCCCACAGTTCTTGCCAAATATGCAGATTGATACTGAAACCAAAATCCCTACTCCAAATTAGCATAGTCTCCTTGACCTGTTCTTCATACATTGCCATCTAAAAGAAAGTGATATATTTTTTTAATCATTTTATCCTCGGGCCCTAATAATATTTTGTCTAGTTCTGTTGGTTCTGTTTTTATACCCCACTCTTTTTTGTCTTTCCTATATCTTGCTTGTAGTTGGAGGTATGCCCACCATTCTAATTCTATCCCTGCATCTTGAAGATTTTTCCTCGATTTTAATTCTCCTCTCTCGTCTAATATGTTTTTATAAGTTATCACATACCCTAACTGGATAAACCTTGGGTGTATATACATTTCTAATGTTGAAATCCAATTGGGAACTTCCCTATAATTCTGTTGCCGGATTTTGGTCCATACATCTATTAACACCTGTCTAATGTAGTGCCTCTGGAAGTACTGGTGAACTTTATGTTTCTCGTCCCATAACATAGTGTGCCATCCAGTCTGCATGTCATGACCTTCCAATTTTAATAATCTCCAGTTTTCCAATCGAATCCAATCCTGCACCCCTAGTAAAATTGTAGATTGATAGTAGTTTTCCAGGTCAGGGAGACCAAGACCCCTTTCCTTAGCACCCTGTAATAATTTTAATTTAATCCTTGCTTTTTTTCCTTGCCAAATGAATTTAAGTATGGAATGGTTGAAATTTCAAAAGAATTCCTTTTCTAATTTAATTGGCATACACTGAAATAGAAATAATATTTTAGGTAGTACGTTCATTTTGATTATGGCAATTCTACCCATAAAAGAGAGCTGAAGGTTTGTCTAGGTATCCAAGTCAGTTTTAATTTGTTCCATTAATTTATCATAATTGTCTCTTTTAATTGTCACACTTCTAGCTGTTAATTGTATTCCTAAGTATCTTATTTTCTTTGTGATCTGAATGCCTAATCTATCAGCTAGTTCATTTTTCTGTGTTCTAATCATATTCTTCACGAGCATTTTAGTTTTTTCCTTATTTATCTTTAGGCCTGCCATTTCACCATATTCACCCAGTACTTCCATTAGCCTTATCCCTGATTGTAGTGGCTCTTCAATTATAAAAACAAGATCGTCAGCAAAGGCTTGCAATTTGAAAATTTCTCTCTTGATCTCTAAACCTTTAATCTGCTCGTCTTTCTGAATCATTCTGTTTAGTACCTCCAGGGATAATATAAACAATAGTGGACATAACGGACAACCTTGCCTTGTACCTTTTTGGATTTGAAAACTTGTAGTAGTTTCTCCGTTAATTATCACTTTAGCTACCTGTTTGGAATAAATCGCTTTGAACATGTTTATGAAATTCTCCCCAAAATCCATATATTCCAATTGGTTAAACATAAAATCCCATTTCACATTGTCGAATGCTTTTTGTGCATCAAGAAAGATTAGTCCCATTTGTTTTTCATTGTGAGCCTCATAATATCCCAATACGTCCAATATGATCCTGACATTATTTCTTATGTATCTTTTGGGTAGAAAACAATTTTGATCCATATGTATGAATTTTACTAAGAATCTTTCAAGACGTTTAGCCATTATGGCCATGAAAATTTTATAGTCCAAATTTAATAATGAAATGGACCTATAATTTTTAATGAATGCCAAATCTGAATTATCCATGGGGAGCAAAGTGATATTTGCTTCTTCCCATGAGGTCGGAATTTTCGCATTCTTCAGAACCTCGTTGAATAGATCTATTAATATTGGACTTAGAGATTCTTGCATAATTTTGTATATTTCTATTGGTAAACCATCCGCAGTCCAGTCTCTTCTGGAAAGCCTCCAGTGATGAAGCACCAACAACATCTGAAAGCAGTCTGTTCCAT